GGGGGGGGGGGGGGGGGGGGGGGGGGGGGGGGGGGGGGGGGGGGGGGGGGGGGGGTAGATTGGATGAAGAGGTCAGAAAGGTGAAGTGGAGCCAGATCACATGAAACCTTAGAGACTAGGATGAAAAATTTGGACTTTACCTTGAGGATGACAGTCTGCCCTTGAGGTATTTTTAGAGAAAGAACATCATCTCATACATAGTGTTTAGGCTGCTTGTGGAGAACAGACAATAGGGGTGAGGCTGGAGGCAAGAGACCAGTGAGGAGGCCTCTGCAAGTCTAGGTGAGTGGTGATGGTCATGGCAGTAGAGGTGGTGAGGAGACGTTAGATACCAAATATATTCCAAACATAGAGCCAAAAGAATCTGATTCTTTTGAAAAGTAGAGCGAATGAGAGGTGTAACCCTGCTTTAGCACAAATGTCTCTTCCTTAAGGAAGGCTTCTGGGAAACCTTGATGCTAGTCTAGGGTCCTCTGTGAAACACTCTTGAATCCCTTGGTCTTAAGTCAGTCTTCACTCAGCACCTCATACTGCTGTTGGCTGTCTAATGATCTGTCCTCCAACTCATCGATCACCTCCCTAAGAAGGGACCCTGTCTTGTTTGGCACATTTGTATCACCAACTCCTGATACACAGCAGGTGCTCAATAAGTGTTTGTTGGCTAAATGAGAAGAACCCTTTCAGTATGATTCCCACCTCCCTAAATGATCTGCTTTCAGTCTCCAGGGTGGTGTAAGAAAGGATATGTTCTTGCTAACGGGCTCTAAGTGTGATTTGGGGACAGCTTGAAGTACTCAGTCTCACCTGTCATCCCAGAGGCAGTGGAATTCATTTAGCTGCTCATCGAACACCAAGCCAGTTCCAGCCAGTGCCTTGGCTTCACGGTTCAGATCCTGCAGGGAAAAAAAGGGAGGCACAGATCCACTTAGGGCCTGAGTCAGATGGAACATCCCATACTGCCCAGGGTTTTGAATGTCACAGGAGGCTAAATTGTGGCCAGGCTCCTCTCACCAGCCCTTGCAGCCCCATGACTAGGTCTTCTTCGGGTGCTTGGCTGAGCTTCTTCGCTTTGCCTTTCTTCTTCACCTCCGCTAGATTGGTGCTGGAGCGGGATACAGCGCCCTTCTTAACATTTCGCTTCTGCCAATCAGAGAAGGGTCAGAGTCCAGGGCAAAGTCAACTTGCTCTGCCCCCCGCCCCCACTCATCAGAGTAGGTCTGGGGGCCTCACCGAGGAGACGCTGGAGTCGTGAGGGGGTGACTGGGGCTTGTGCCTACTCCTTCGCTGCCTGGTTGTGGTGGAATCCTGGCCGGTGGAGGTCATGGTCGGGGGGACTTCGCCCCTGATGAGGGTCTGGGGGTGAGGTTGGGGGGGGTGGAGGTGGTTGTGAGGGGACTGGAGTGCCCTGAGGACCCCAGAACTTTGCCCCCTTTTAGCCCCCACCCCCATACTGGATTCCATCACTTACGCTATCCCATTCCCCACCGCCTTCTAAACGCCTCTCTCAAGGCCCTCTCCGTCGCCTGAGGTGTTCATTCCATCCGGTCCGGCTCATTGCACTAGACTCCACCCCTTTTCCACTATTCTCTTTCACCAGTCTTGCCCTTTCACTCAGCAATTAACCCCCGGGCTCAGTCCGTTCTAGGGACTGCCCTTTCCAGCCAGTCACCGCCCCTTCCACTCTACCAAGCCCCAGACCTTTTCATTGCTCTACGCCTCGCCCAGACCCCGCCCCTTCACAAACCTGCCCTTTGCGGCCTATCTCCCAGGATAATCACCCACCCTTTCCCTCAAGCCAGCCCCAGCCGCGGCGTCGACTCCACCCTGAACGACTCACTTAACTCCACCCCTAATCGGGCCGGACCGATACCTTTCGTTCCGCCAGATCCCGCCCCTAGCGTTTCAACCGGCCCCGCTCCTCAGGGGACTGCTCCTTTCCCTCCACCAGACCCCACCCCCTGTCCAGATCCGACTCCTAACGTTTCAACGAGCCCCTTCCGCCAATCTCGAGCCGCCTCCCACCAGCCTCCGCCCCCGTCCCGCCCCACCGTCGACACCGCCAAATCCCGTCAGCTCCACTCACTGGGCGCAGCTCCTTTCTCAAACTCCGCCCCTGGCTCGCGCAGTCAAATTCCTGGCGACCTGTGCGGCCGCGAGTGTCCGAGTCCCTGTTTTCCATTGGGCCGGGTCTCTCTACTGCCTACCCAGGTCCCGCCCACAGCGGGGATTGTGTCTCAAGGCCGCGCTCCTCCCGGCGGACACACCTCTCGCGAGCTCTCAGACTGCAGGCCGACGCGTACGGGCGCGACGCGGGCCGCACTGCGCTTGCGTGAAGAGCGCGCCAACGGTTGGAGATGCAGCTCCGGCTCAAGCTTGCCCCCTCACCGCTTCCGCCTCTATAGTCCTGGCTCTCAGGGCCACCGTCCATCAGTCACCTCAGGAGCTCTCCGGACCCGCGCCAACTCTGCCGCGCGGTGACTCGAGAGCAATCAAGGAAGCGAATGAGTTAGGCAGGGCGTCTTCTCTTCCCCTGGGCTTCCCGCGCGGCGCGCCTTGCCGTGGTGACGTAGCGCGGGCGGGCTGGTAGCTGGGCCGTGAGCGAGGTTGACACTTGGGCGATGGCTGGTGGCGGCCAAAATGGGAGTAGCGATGGTGATAAATGTTGTGACGATTTTCTGAGTTAATATTCACTACGGTGCACAGGAAGCACTCGTGGAATGTTAGCTATTAATATTCCGCTGCGAAAACGGGTGGTAGGGTGGAAGGAGTCTTAGTGGAGGCAAGTAATGGTAATGATAGCCAGTGTTATGTGACAGGCATTGTTGTAAGCCACAGTTCTATGAGGTAGTTCCCATGATTAAGGCTGCTTTGCAGATAAGGAAACAGGTTACGGGACTTCGCCATGTGACCTTGGATAAGTTACTGAACAGCTCTGTGCTCAGTTTCCTCATCTGGAAAATTGTGATAATAATAGTGCCCGGGGCCAGAATGGACTCCGGGAGGGGAGTTTCTCATGGGCGGCAGCTCTCCCCATCTGCCCCCTCCACCGGTTAACCTCTGCTCCCAAGCTGTAATAGAAGGGGCCGGCCCGTGGCTCACTCGGGAGAGTGCGGTGCTGATAACACCAAGGCCCTGGGTTCGGATCCCTATATAGGGATGGGCAGTTCGCTCACTGGCTGAGTGTGGTGCTGACAACACCAAGCCAAGGGTTAAGATCCCCTTACCGGACATCTTAAAAAAAAAAAAAAAGCATGTGTGTGTCTGGGGAGTAGAGGGAGCCGTCCTTGTGCCCGCCCCCCACAACTCCCACCCGGTGTCTAAATGTCTAAATAGCCCCACAGGAGGCCGGTTTGTCCTCCTAATCTCACTCTCTCATTCTCCACCATTTCCTACCGGGCCGAAAGCTGGGGCCAGAGAGATAAGCGGGAGAGAGATAAGCGGGCTGGGGTTCAGCATCGCTGACTAACAGATTGACAGCCCCACCGCCCAGTAGCTGGGTCCTCTGACTCACTTGGAGATGCCAGTTCCAGCCTCCACTTTCCTTCCAGTCTTTTCCTATCTGAACCTCTTTTGTCTCAGTACAAGAGGGTCACACACCTAAGACATTTAAACCTCTGCACACACCAAAGAAAACATGAGTACACTGATACACGCTGAGGAACATTCTGGAGTTGTGATGCCTGCAAAATAGAGTAGGAAGTCTTGTAAAGGGCTGAGGCCCATTTTTCTGCACAATCGAAACAGAGGTTCCTGTAGAGCAGGAGGTCAGCAAACTTTATAAGGAGCCAGTAATGAATATTTTAGGCTTTGCAGGTCACATATGGTCTCTGTGGCATATTCTTTTTCCTTCTTTTTTCCCTTTAAAAATATAAAACATCTGAAGTCTGGCTTTGGCCTGAAGGCCATAGTTTGCAGATCCCTGTTGTAGAGTGTCAGTCCTTGGTTTCATTTATCTGGCTGGGATTATTTTACAGGATGAGGGCAGGGGTTCCGTGAGGAGACATATTACTTTTGTGTGAGGTGTGAGGACAGGGATTCACCGGCAGGGTCAGGTCACTTCTGGTGTTTCTCTAGTGGGTCAAGCAAATTTTCTGGACAGAGTGAGGATGGGGATTTCTATAGTTCTATAGTGTTGTTCCTTTACTGAATCAAGCAGGGATTTCTATATATGACAAGACAGTAGTTTCTAGAGAGCTCCAGACTATGGATTCTTGTACAAATTCAGGATGGGGCTTCTTAGACTGCATTATGACAGGTTACAACAAATAGATCAGGTGGTCTAGTACTGGTCCAGGTACTGGTCCTAGTACAGGTGTTTCTGCAGGTTCAGAGCTTGTGTTCATATAGACATTTAGATCAGGTGTTTAAGTCAAGATTCAGGTAAAGATTGTTATTAATTAGGCTAAATTATGCTAGCTGCTGAAACAACCAAATCCAGAATCTCATGGGCTTAACAAATGTTTATTTCTTGTTCATACAAAATCTAATCTGAATATTTACTACTGATCATTCATGGACCAAGGCAACTTCTATTTTGTGACTCTACTCTTCTCTAGGTCCTTGGAGTTCTCATTATTCAGTTGGTAGATGGGGAAAGAGAGAGAGTAGAGGATTGCATGAGAGGTTTTTATGGGCCAGGCCTGGAAGTGGTGTATGTCACTTCTGCCTGTACTCCATTGGTCAAAACTGTCACACGTTCACATCTAACTGCAGAAGAGGTTGGAATAGATAGAGTGAGCTCAGGAAGAAAGGAAACAGGTTTCGATGAGCCTATGGCAGTGTCTACTGCAGGATTCTATAGACTCCACAGACCTACAGTTTCCAATATGGTAGCCACTAGCCACACGTGGCTACTATCCTTGAAATGTGGCTAGTTTAATTTGAGATGTGCTATAAGTGAAAAATTCACACCAGATTTCAAAAACTTAGTATAAAAAATTTAAAATCTCAATAATTTTGCTTATGTTTTGACATAATATTTGGACATACTGGATAAAGTAAAAATGTGTTAATATTTTATTAAAATTAATTTTATCAGTTTCTTTTTTCTCTTTAATGTGGCTACATGGAAATTTCAAATTACATATGTGACTTGCATTATATTTCTGTTGGACAACACTGCTATAGAGAATTCTCTTCAAAGCATTGGCACAGGAATTCTTTTCCTGTGTAGGGATAGGGGTTTCTCTGTAGGATCCAGTTAGTGTTTCCTGTTTGGGGTCAGGAGAATGATTCTATTACCTGGTATGGCAGGATTGTAGGAAAATATGATGGTTCGTGCTTGCTGTGGGTCAAATGTATCCCCCAAAAGTTCATTCGTTGGAAAATTGATCCCCAAGGGTGTAAAGGCATTTTTTCCTGTGTAGGTTAAGGTTATGTGTTCCTTTTGAGGCTAGGAGAGTGGTTTTCTGTAGACAGTCAGGCGAGAAGATCACAACATATCAGGCCAGGTATTTTTGCATACAATCAGTTAGGTTCCTGGAGACAGACAGGTCAAGTGATCCTGTTGGGGGTTAGGCCAGGGGTTCTTGTATGGGTTCTACACAGGTGTTCATGGTGATTCAGATTATGGGTTGTTTAACAAGGTCAGAACAGAGGTTCCTCTACAGTGTAGGTGATTTTATACTGGTTCATTCCTTGCATTCCTCTAAAGAGGCAAATGACAGGTTCCTATTGAGTGTAAGGGCAGGGTTTTCTGTACCAGCTCAGGGCACAGGTTCCTGCCAGGAGTCGTAGAGGGTAGTCCTGTGCAGGGTCAGGACAAAGATCCTGTGCAGAGTTAGGACACTGGTTCTTTCAGAGATTCGGGTTACTGCTTCTTCTGTTGGGTTTGGACAGGGGTTCCCATACAGGGGGAGGGTGGGGCTTACAGGACAAGGCCAGGGCAAGGGCTATTATAAAGAATCACATCAGGTCTTCCTGTTCAGGGTCCAGAGAGTAAGGTTAGGAATTTCTATAAAGGATCAGAACAGAGATTTCTATAAATGAGTAAAGTAAAGGATTTCTGTTGAGGTTCAGGAGAAAGGTTTTCTACAGAGTCCAGTCGGAGGTTCTGGTACAGTTATAAGGCCAGACTTCCTGAAGAGGGTCAGGGCAGTGGAACTAATGCAGTCTGAGAACAGGGAGCCTTCTATGGCATCAGGAAATGGCACCTGTCCAGTGAGCAGGGGCTCCTGTACCAGGTGAGGCCAGACGTGCCTGTATAGAATGCGGTTGGGTCTTAAAATAGAGGGTCAGGACAGGCGTCCTTGCCACAGAATCAGGAAAGGGTTTTCTATACAAGTTCAAGACAGAGGTTCATGTTGAGAGTTGGATCGTGTATTCCTGTGCACTCTGCAGGGTAGGGTATGAGATCAGAGATTGTTGTGCAGGGCGATGTCAGAGGTCATTGCCAACAGTGAAGGCAGGGGCTTCCACATGCAATCAGATACCTGAAAAGGTTGAGGACAGGGATTTCTGTGGAGAGAGAGCTGGGTCCATGGTTCAGAACTAGGTTTATTGTGAGTGAGGTGTTTACCTGGAGGGCAGGGCTGCAACACAGTGTGTGGACAGAGGTGTTTCTGTCTGAGGTCAAGACAGGATTTCTATAGAGAGATCAAGGCTCGTGTAGAGGATCAGGACAGGTGTTCCTGTTGGGTGGTGCGGGGACTTTCTTACAGTGTGGGTTCAGAGATTCCTAACCAGGGTAAAGCAGAGAGGTTCCTGTACTGGGGGAGGACAGGGGTTCCTCCTATATGAGGTGAGAGCTGGTGTTCCTGTCCAGGATCAGGATGGGTTTCCTGTTAATAATTAGATAAAGGTTTCCCTTAGGGTTTCAGAGCTGGCCTCCTGTACCAGGCTAGGGCAGCTGTTCTTATAAGGGGGAGGCCCGTGGCTCTTGAACAAGGTCCAGCACAGGTTCTGAGAGGGGTTTCTGTTCAAGATGAGGACAGGGGCTCCTCCTGGGTGTGAGGGCTGGGCTTCTATGGCGAGGCCAAGCAGGCAGCTTTTACAGGGTCAGGGCCTTTCTGGACAACCACCACAATAGTGTAGCCTACTGTGATCCTGCAGTGGGCTACTCAGTGGCGACTAGCTGATTGGGTGTTGTTCTGTGGAGGACAGCTGCTTACCCATAATATGTTCAGCATCTTCGGGCTCCCGCAGCCCCCACGTCTGGGGCTCTGGGGAAGAAGCCATAAAGTGAAGTAGCTGAATGAAGTGTGAGCAGTATTCATTTGCTGCGGTGGGTGGGAGTGGGGCTGTCACCCCATCCAAAATGCACTCCTTAAACTTGGTGTGGTCAGGGCAGGTTACTCATCAGTTCTGAGCCTCACCTTTTCATTAGTAAAATGAATATTAGTATACTTTCCTCAGAGTAGTTTTTTCTTTTTTCAGGTGTTAATAAACTAAAGCAGCTGAAGCCTCCCAGCCTGTTGCCTGACACACGGTGAGCACTCAGTAAATGGTGCAGCTTGCTGTGGGGGGCAGCTGAGTAGTGTAGAGGCTGAGCACATGGACTCTGCCCCTTGCCACCAGCTGTGTGGCTTAGGATGTCACGTGACTCGGAGTATGCTCCCATTTAATTGTTAAGTTGAAGAACAGATTCCACTCTGAGGGGAGCAGTTCACCCAGCTCAGTAGGATTGGGGAGGGAGTTGGCACTGTGTGGAACTCTCCACCTATAGGGTCTAAATATCACTTCCAGGGGCTATTTTGTCCTCCTACTCTTCCGCTTATTCTCCACCATTTTCTACAGGGCTGCAGGCTGAGCTGGGTCGAGAGAGAAAGAGAGAAGAGAGAGAGGACAGGTGACTAACAGGAAGATGCACAGATGACCCCACTCTCTGGCCTTCTCACCTTGCCAGCTGCCATTCCAGCCCCACCCTTCCCCCCTTTCCTTTCCTGAATGTGTCTTTCGTCCCTTGGAAGAGAGTCCCTAACTTACACCTTCTGGAACTATGCACATTGATGCCTTCACCAGCAAACGTACACAGAGCTGCTCTCGTCAGCTACTCAGATACCGTGATGTGGCACATTTCACATGATATGCACACACACGCACACCCATATACATGCACAGAGACTTGCAGAGAAATATTGCTGTTACCAGACCCACAAAGACATCCTGACTGACACACACATGATCACATGCAGTTCTTGTTCAGCATTCCAACAATATTTATCAGTCCAGATTCTGTGCCCAGCATATGCTGTCACACTGTCTCCACGATCACCCAGAGTCGTGCCCCACTCACTTCATCACCCACTGTGGCTCACATACTTCAGTGCTCTCATGCAGTTTCCCAGTGGCACACATACCATCTGCTTTGGATTGAGTGTCCCCCCCAAAACTTGGTCCCCACTGTGACAGTGTTAAGAGGGTGGGAAATCCTATCATGTTAATTGAAAGTTGGGGCCTTAAAGAGGTGATTAGATTGTAAGACCATGCCATAGTGAATGGATTAAAAATGGTGATCATGGGCGTGGTTTGGAGGGCTTTAAAAAGACAGTGAATGAGGAGGTTAGTTTCTGCTCTCTCTGCTTCCACCATCTTGCAGTGTGAGACCCATGGGTCGCTGTTGCCACCATCAAGACCCTCACCAGATATGTTCACTGCACTGTGGACTTCCCAGCCTCTGAAACTGTAAGCAATAAATTTAATTTTCTTACAAAGTACCCAGTTCCATTATTTTGTTATAAGCAACAGAAATGGACTAGTACACCATCTCACTCCCCTCACCCCCATAGTCAGCAGGTTACACACCATCTCTCACCATGATGTATGGAACCACCCAGTTGCTATCACACAAAGTTTCACTTACACTGTTGCAATCGCACATCATAACCCTCAATCATGAAGTGTCACATGTGCCACCTCACCCAGCCTCACATGGTCGTACATTGCAGCCATACACTGTCATCAAAGAACTCCAGACACTGCTATACACCTCGCCTGACACTACTGTTGAGTCAGTCACACACAAACTCACACCTCTAATGTCAGGACTTTGGTGATTTTACTTTACAAAAGCTTTGAAGGTCCAGGCCGGGGGGTGTCTGGAGCCCGGGGAGTGGGATTGCACACACTGCTGGCTATAAGAGGAGCAGTGCTTGAGGCTATGTGATGTGCCCTCATGAGCTGAGTGGAGCTACCACAGTAGTGCTGGTGGTAGGAGGCACAGGGCCTGTGGGGAAGGAGCCTGTGGGTGAGCCCAGCAGGGACCCAGGGAAAGGCATGAGGTGGCTAACAGGCCCTGACAACACCACGGGGCCTAGGCCCTGGTATAGATGGGCAGTACCTGGGGGGCCCAGTGTCAAGCCTGAGGCCACCTCTTCACAATTCCCACTACTGCTGCCCCCAGCCACCACCATGAAGCTGCCAGCTGGTCCTTCGGCTGCTCCTGTACCTCCCAGACTCGACCCCCGTTTTTTTTTCCCTTTTCCAGATGCCTTGCGGTTTCGAGTTTGAATACCATCCTTCCGCATGGTCAGTGGTCGGTTCACCTGCCAAAAGAGAGGCCATGGGTATTTCCCAACTCCAGACCTTGTTTCTCTATGTCTTGCCCAGGGATGTCCCCTCCACCCCATTTCTTTAAGAACAGGTAATTGGTTCAAGGACTTGGGGAATGCTCCCCAGGTGTGGCCCAGAGATGGTCCCGAGGAATCCTGAGGTTGTGAGGTCCTGGGTTTGGGAAAACCTCTAACGCTGATGAGAGCTGCCCAAGGTCTAGGGCAGTAGAGTAGAAGTGAGCTGATGACTGGAGGTGGGGAAAAGAGTAGGGGAAGGAGCCAGGAGATGGAGGAGGAAGAGAGGAGGGAGTGGAAGAAGGAAGGAGATGGAGGGAGGGAGGAGGGAATAGAGAAGGAAGAAAGAAGGAGGGAAGAGAGAAGGGAGAAATAGAAAGGAGGGAGAAAGGGTAGCAAAAGGTGAGGAAGGGAGAGGGAGGGGGGGAAAGAGAGGAGGAATGGTTATGGGAAGAGAAGACTCAGGGTAGAACAAGAACAGTGAGGAGGGGAAAACAGGAGGGAGGCTCTATGGAGCAGGCGTCACCTGGTGTAGCTTGTAGTAGAGGCCGCAGGCATTGCACACAGGATCTCCACTGGCATTTCTCCGCCACAGTGTTGTGGTGGTTGTCTGGCAGTTGGTGCACTGAGTACCTGCCCGTTTGCTGACAATCTGGAGACAAGATGTGAGATCAGTGCCCTGGGGAGGTGGAAGTGGGGATAAAGGGCTCACAGGGCCTCCTGTCACCCAAGAGGTGAGGGTCAGGTTGAAGGCAGGACTTCCTGCACAGGGCAAGGACGGGCATTTACAGGGTGATGCCTGAGGATTTGGTATGAGGCAAGGACAAGAGTTCCTGTCTGGAATAGGGTTTTTTTGTTTTGTATTCTATTGGGGACTACATCAGTGGTTCTCAACTTTGGCCTTATATTGGAATCACTTGGGTTAAAAAACAATCCTGATGTTCAGGCACTACCCTACTCCAATTAAATCAGCACATCTTGGGGAAGGGAACCAGGGTGATTCCAGTGTGAAGCCAAGGATGAAAACACTGCTATGCAGTGTGAGGGCAAAGGTTTCTGTATGGTTTGAGGACAAGCCTATAAGGGTAAGTTGAGGATAGGAGTTCTTGTATAGGACCAGGGCAGAAGTTCCTATATGGGGAAAGAGTGGTAGTTTCTGTACAGTGTCAGGTATGGGTTCCTATGCAGGGTGAGGGCAGGGATTTCTATGCAGGATGAGGGCAAGGGTTTCAATACAGCATTAGAACAGGGGTTCCTATAAAGGTGGCAGGCAGTAGTTTCCTGCAGGTATGAGGACAGGAGTTCCTATACAATGGGAGGATGTGGGTTCTTGTACGGGATGAAGACAGGGTTCTATGTGATGTGAGGATAGGGATTCCTGTATAAGGTGAGGCAGGCCTGCAGTCTTACCAGGCGCTTCTTAGGCCGAATGAGGGGCCTGTTCTGCCCATTCATCTTGTGATAGAGGCCACAAGCATTGCATAGGTAGTGGCCTGTCCTGTCCTTCCGCCACAGTGGAGTGGCTGTTGCTCCACAGTTCACACACTCCCTGGCCTCTGGTGGGGTGGACAGAGGGGAAGAGGGAGACTGGCTCAGCTCAACTTTGCCTTGGGCCATCCTCCCCCCACCCCACATTTCAAACTCCCTGTCCCTTTTTGAGGCCCTCACCATAGGGAGGCAGGGGCAGGGTTCCATGAAGCTTGGGGGAGGAATAGGCTGCTGAATTGAGGGGGCTCCCAGTGGGAGAAAAGAAAGTACTGGAAAAGTCAGGACTCCCATAAGCACTGCTGGGGACGGGGAGTGATGAAGGCAGTGCAGGACCCAGGGTCAAGAGGTCTGGACTTAGCCGCTCTGTCTTCAAGGTTTCCAGGAAGCTGGTGCTGCCTTTTCCGTCTGGATCTTCTGGGGCCTGGGGAGGTGAGGCCTCGCGGGTAGGGCACACAGTTGAGGCAGGGTAGAGCCCTGCCTTGCCATAGGCCCAGCCAGCATATGGTGAGCCCCCTGGGATGCCCTCCATACAGTTGAGCAATGGGTACACCTGAAAGACTGTTGGGGGGCAGGTAGGGGAAGGAAGGAAAAAAGAGGGGAGATCAGTCTAAGGTCATCCCACTTTCAGGGTGCTACAGTCCCCAACAGCCCCAACATGTTGGCCAAGTTTCCAACCTTTCCACAGGTTGCCAGAACAGCTGCTGGCCACTGGGTCCTGAGCACCACTGGTCACTATGGCATCTGCAATAACTTCCAACCATTTCCAAATGGGCTTTGAGGATGACTGTTGTAATTTGGAGCCCCACAGATCACTTGACAACTAGGGCAACCACCGGATATTTCCAGTATTGCTTCTCAGTATGGCAGGTTGAGGAACATTGGAATTCCTAGGTCTGGGCTTAACTAGAGAAAGTATTCAGCACGTCCATATGAAAAGCTTCCACCCTTTTCCAAGATGACCTCCTACTGGGATTCCCCCTTGGCTAAGGATCTCCATGGCAACCCCAACAGCATCCACAATGCTAAGACAGACATCCAATGGAGTTACCTGGAGAGTGTCTGTAGGCCTCAGCATCCCTGTAGTAAGCCAGTGCAGCAGCTGCTGCACTGGCCGTGCTCGTGGCAGTAGACGAGGCTGCTGCATCTAAGCCCTCAGGCCCAGAGGGGAAGAAGACCCCTGACTCTGGTGATGGGGACACCAGGGCAGGATCCATAAACTGAGGCAGGGGCTCTGAGGGCCCCAGGGCCCCCAGGCCAGGAAACTCCATGGGGCCTCTGGTGTTTAACCTGTGAGGACAGGAGGGGTCCTCAGACACAAATCCTGCTCCCCTTACCTCTCCACCTGCTCCTCTAACCTTTCCCCTCCTTCCACTCACCTCTTCAGTCTCCATATTCCTCTCCACCTTCCCATTCCCCTTGTCCTCCTCACCTTTTTCCCTCTTCTCCTTTCCCATTCCTTCACCTCTCCCTTGTCTTCCCCTCCATCCTCTCACTTCCTATCCTCCCCTCCTTTCACCTTCTTCATCGTTTCCTCTTCTTTCCCCATTTGTCTTTCCTCTCCTCTTCCTCTACTCTCATTTGCTCCCTTCTCTGCCTTCTCCTCTTTCTTCCCCTCCTCTTCCTCCCTCCCATTCCCTCTTTTCTTTCTTCTCTTGCCCTTCTCCTCCTCCTCCCTTCCTCCCATCTGTCCTCCTCCCATCTGTACTCCCATCTCTTCTCTTCCCTTCCTCTCTCACTCAATTCTCCTTTCTCCTCCTCTTCTTCCCTCTTCCTTTTCTTTCCACTCCTTCCTCATTCTCCTCTTCCTCCTCCTTTTTCTACTCCCCCACCTCTCCATTTCCTCCTTGCCCTCCTCCTTTCCTCTCCCATTCCCCCTCTTCCTTGTTCTCTTCTCTTCTCTCCCTCCTCTCCCTCCTCCTCCTCTCCCTCCTCATCCTTTCCCTCCTCTTCCCTCCTCCTTTCTCATGCATCTTATTTCCCTCTTCCCTGTCTACATGTACTCCTCCAGTCCTCTTTCCTCCTCCTACTCATTTTCCCCTCCCCTCTTTTTCTTCATCCTTCTCCTCTTCTTCTTTGCTATCCTTTTCTGCTCATCGTTTTCTCTTTCCTCATCTCCTCTTCCCCCACTTCCTCTTCTTATTCTCCCCCTGCCCCCCAGCCTTGCTTCCCTCCCCCTCTAGAAGAGGCTGTGTGGGGCTGGGATGGGGTGCAGAACCAGGGTCCCTTGAACCCCTTGGCTACTACCTCCAGAACCTTGGGGTTCACCCTTCCGTGCTCCCCAACTTCATCCCTATCTGTTGCATCTTGCCCTCTGACTTTCTCAGAAACCCCATGGTTTCCGGCTTGACTCCTCCTCCCCCACCTCTGTTGGGTCTGCAGACAGAAGGCCCCCTCAGTTCCTCCCTGCCCCATGGGGGGGGTCAGTACCCCCCACTGCTTATCTCTGCCATCCCCGCCCAACTTTTGAAATCGCCTCAAGGCCACTGGCTTCCTCTAAGGAGGGTGAGAGGTGGGAGTTGTTCCCTCTACCCATACCCTCTCCCTTGGAGAGGTCTGCTGTAGTTCTGCTTTCAGGCTCCTTCAGTTCCCACCATTCCCAGGCCTTAGTTTCCCCATGTGCTATATTGGAAGTGGTGACAGAGCTGAGCTAAGACCTGTGAGATGACCCTTTGCCTCTGGCTTGTCTTGTGTGTAGCTCTGTCTCTGCTTCTCTGTCTCCCTGGATCTCTTTTCCCCTGACTGTTTCTCCTCCAATTTGACTCTGTACTTCTCCCCTATCTTCTATGCTTCTGTGATGTGTCTTCCCTCTCTCTCTGTGCTTTTACAAATGTCTAATGTTTTCCCTCCCTTTCTCTGTCTTTCCATGTCTCTCTGTCTCTCTCCATCTTTAATTCTGTCTCTTTCGCTCTTTGTGTTTTTCTCTCTCTCAATGTGTCTCTCTTTCTTTACTCTCCACTCATCTGTCTCTGAACATTTCTGCATCTCTCCCACTCTGTCTCTTTCTGCTTATTTGTTTCTTCCCTCTGTTTCTCTTTGGGCCCTCTGACCTTATTTCCATGCCTCTCTTACTATTCCCATATCCCTGACCATACCCTAGTGCACACAGCCCAGGACAAGGAGGTGAGAAACCTGCCCCTGCGTCTGACTGCTCAGTTTCCCTGCCTGTAGAATGGAGTGATGGAGATGGAGTGAAGGCCACCTTCAAACCACCCCCACACTCACCTACATGACCGGTGGTGTAGATGGGCTGAGGGTTGGGCCCAGGTTGGAGTTGTGCTAAGAAAGACACAGGCCTGTGGCCATGCCCACTACCACCACCTCCTCGGACTCAGGGTTCCCACTGTCCCTCCCTGGAGGGAGTGTCCTGCTTTGCCATTTTGGCCTCCATCTCTTCCCTCTCTGTCTCTAATCCTTTGTTAGTCTCTGTCTCTCCACAGTTCTATCTGTGGAGATCTCTCGCTGTTTGCATTCCTGTCTCTCCTTTTCTGCTCCTGGGTCTCCCTCTCTCTTGCTGTCTCTCTGTCTCTTACTCTTTCTTTGAGCCTCTGTCTCTCTGTCTGTTTCTCCTTTCCCTCTCTTCATGTCTCTTGCTCTTTTTCTCTGTCTCTGTGTTTCTGTCTCTTTTTCTCCCCATCTCTCTTTGTTTTTCCCTCCCTTTTCTGTCTCACTGTTTGTTTCTTGCTCTCTTTCTTTCTCTATCACCACTATTCCCTCATTCTCTTATACTCACCTTAGTCTCCCTTCATAGTCTCTACCCCCCATAGTCTCCCTTCAGCCCCACTGCCGCCCACCCCGGCATCTCTCACCTTGGCAAGTCCATGGCTGCCCACCCCTCCTGTGGCAGGGGCCCAGCCCCCCCACCCCTAGTTATCACTCTCCGGAGAGAGATAAAGTTTATCTCGAGGCTGGGGGATATGAAAGCTCCTTATCAGCTGCCCCACTAGAGTGAGTGCTGCCCCAACAGCAGGCAGGCAGCAGCCTGGCACTCTCAACTCTCCCTCGGCCCCAGCCCCTCACCCCAGGTAACATCCCTGTCCCAGCCCTCAAGGGAGGGTCTCACAGGACTGAAGGGAGCAGACATAGGGTCTGGGGGGCAGATATGGGGTTTGGGGGGTTAGAGGTGGAGCTTGAGGGTCAGATATGGGGTTGAGGAATCAGAGGTTTGGGGTGTAGTAGTGGAGTTTGGGAGAAGCAAATATGGGGTTTGAGGAGCAGAGAAAGCTTGGAGGTTCAGAGACACTTTGGGTTCAGAAATAGGAAAATAGAGACAAGGTTGGGGAATCAGAGGTGAAGTTTGGGAGTCAGGGATAAAGTTGAAAAGTTAGAGATGTACTTTCAGGGTCAGAGACAGATTCTGAAGGTTGAAGAAAGGTTTGGGATGGGGGGTTGCCCAAGGGTTTTGCTGGAGCAGAGATGGAGTTTAGGAGTCATAGATTAGTTTGTGCAGACAGAAATGTGGCTGATGATTAGAGATGGGCTATGGGAACACAGGAGGAGTTCAAGAAGCCAAGATGGAATTGGGGTAGAGAAAGATTTGGAGCCAGAGGGATTCGGGGGACAGAGACATGTTTTAGGGCTAAGATAGAGTTTAGGGAAGGCAGACATGAGGGTTCATGTGGCAGAACAGATTTTGGGGGAGTAGACTTGGTGTTCAGAGTTACAAAGACATTTTGTTGAGCAGGTTGGGAGAAAAAACCATTTGGGGAAATCAGAGAGAAGTCACAGGGAACAAATACAGGGTTTGAGAGGCAGAGGTGGGGTTAAGAGGATGGAGCTAGGGTTTGGCGGGTCAGAGACAGGTTTGGGGGATCAGAGAGTTTGGGGGAGAGACAAGGGTGTTGTGGAGCAGATAAGGGGTTTGGAAGCAGAAATAGCCTTGGGGCAATAAAAGTGAGGTTTGGGGGAGAACTCAGGGAGACAGAGATAAGTCTGCGTCAGTGGAAATCAGATCTGGGGCAGAGATAGGATTTTGGGGGATGAAGGCATATTTTGTGGGGGCAGAGTAGGTGTTTAGGGGAGACAGACCTGGGGGTATGTAGAGTGAAATTAAGGGATCAGGGAAGCAGATATCTTGGAAGGAGTGGGAGGGATTCAGGGCAGAGAGAAGTGGGGTTTGGGGGTAGATTTAGAGTAGAGATGAGGATTGGAAAGACAGAGGAGTTGTGAAGGGAATCAGGGGTGGCTGACACTTTGGGGACCAGTGGTGGGTTGGAGACCCTGGAGCAGGGTCGGGGAGTAGCCATGAGGTTAGGGGCAGTAGGCCCGGGGTTTGCCTTGCTGGGGGCTCCTTGGGAGCTGAGACTGACCTGGGTTGGTGCGGAAGGTTCAGCCGCCTTGGGGATGTGGTGAGCTCAGTGTGATTCCAGGGGGTGTCTTGGCTGGCCTTGGCCTTTGAGGCTCCCTTCCTCCCTCCCTCCCTCCTCCCCTCTTCCTCTGTAGTTCTGCAGCAGGGTCGGGGAGTAGCCATGAGGTTAGGGGCAGTAGGCCCGGGGTTTGCCTTGCTGGGGGCTCCTTGGGAGCTGAGACTGACCTGGGTTGGTGCGGAAGGTTCAGCCGCCTTGGGGATGTGGTGAGCTCAGTGTGATTCCAGGGGGTGTCTTGGCTGGCCTTGGCCTTTGAGGCTCCCTTCCTCCCTCCCTCCCTCCTCCCCTCTTCCTCCTCCCTCCTCCTCAGGGAGTGGCTGGTGCCCCAGTGGGTGGGGCGGTCTAGGGGAGAGGGTGGGCCCCCTGCTTCAGGGGCACCTCTTGGGTACTGGGGCACCTCCTCCACCCTGCCTGCTCACCCCATAGATATTTGGACCCTACTCAATTTGGGCTCCCATGGACTTCAGTGTCCAGCCAAGCGAAATGGGCTGAAACCAAGATGAATGAAAATAGCAGACAGGGTTTCGTGACTCCACTGGGCTTTTCAGTGAGTAAAGCCCTTACTGTGTGCTGGGCCAGGTATGGGCTGGACCCTTACATATGAGTCCTCCTGGCCACAGGGAGAAAAGAAATGTGGTTGTACCCATTTTGCAGGTGAGAAAAATGAGGCTCAGAGAGGTTCGGTGTAATTGGAACCAGAGCCTGTGGGACGCCTTGATGACCCAGGCCCAGCCAAGGCTGGCTGGAGGCAGGGGCATACTCATTCAGCGCCCCACTAGGGCTTACGCCAGCTCTGGCCTGCCCTGGCGTAGCAGATAAGTCTTATCAGATGGATGCGACAGTGGCTGTTGACGCCGCAGCAGTAACAGGCTGTCTTGAGATGGGGGCGGGGTATGGGGGGGGCACCCAAGGACAGCAGCCTTAACTTCTTGCCCGCCATGCTGCCTTGGAGGCGGGAAAATGAGGTGGGACCTGGGGTTGGTTCCTCTGTGGGTCCTCAAGGAGTGGGATAGGGTAGGGAAGAGAAGGGGATAGAGAAGAAGAGACAGAGAGAGGCAGAGAGACAGGGACAGGAACAGAAACAGAGACAGATGGAGAGACATGGAAATGGGGAGACACAGAAAGTGTGTGTGTGAGAGAGAGAGAGGTGGAAGGAGGCAGGGAGAGGGCACAGAAAGAAAGGAAAGACAAAAAGAGAAGGTGGGACACCCAGAGAGAGCCAGAGACAGTTAAAGACAGATCTGTAGAGAGAGGCAAAGAGAGAACGAGAGACAGAGATGGACAGGAGGCAAAAGGTAAAACCTGAAAGTGACAGAGGCCAGGGACGCAAGTGAAGAAACTGAGAAGGGAGACAGAGACAATGTTGTAGAGAAGGGGACAGAGACAGAGATTCAGAAGCAGAGCCTGAGAGGAAGTTCATGAGACCCCAGGAGGCAGCCTGGGATAAGTCCTGGGCAGGCGGTGCGGGGCAGATGGGACAGGGGGATATGGATTGACGTGGGTCTATGTGGCCTGTGGCTCTGCCCTCAGCCCACTGCAATGGACCCCAGAGGGTTGCTGGGCCTCTGTACCCCAGCCCCCACCCTCCTGTCTACCCCACCTCCCCCAAATATTAACGACAACCACAGTTTCTCATACTGACATAGACCTGTGCCTAGCCTGCTCTGAGCACTTTCTTCATATAAAATCATCTGACACACATGCACACAGTAGGTGTCCAACTTGGGTCCCCGTAGGACAGGAGGTAAGACTCCCCAGTCATGGCCCTGGAACTCCATGGGACAGGGAGCTCTCCTGACCACCCATTCTACAGGTGGGGAGACTGAGACCTACAGACGGCAAGGATGGAGCCCCAGTCAGTGGGGTCTGCTCGCCCACTGGCCCACCTCAGAGGGAGTTTACCATTCTCATCTTACCCCTCTGAGCCTCAGTGTCCTCATATGCAAAATGGGAAGTTTGAGAAGAAAAGAAAGCAAGGCCACGACTTCCCATTTATTGAGCTCCTGCTGTGTGCTACACCCCCATACTGAGCCTTCATTTGTAAGAAGAACACCAACAGAGACAGCTATGACTTAAGTGGCAGTGGTCTCAGGACATGGACTCTGGAGCCAGCCCACCTTGTTCACAGACTTCCCTAAGCGCCAACTGGTCAAGTGACTGAATGAGTTACTATCCCCTCTGGACCTCAGTTCCACATCTGTAAAAATAGGGTAATAATAATAACTACATAGGGTGATGGGGAGACTTAAGTTTTAATCCATGTTAAGTGATTTTAACTCACTTGAACCTGAAACCTCAATAAATGTTAAATATTCTTATTTATTTAATAAGAGTACCTACTGTATAAGGATAGTACTCAGCCCTTCCTAACTCTACTAATACTAGTACTAATGCTAATAGTATGCTAACACCAATAGTAATACTAAAATTAATTCTAATGTTGATACTAGCACTAGTGCTAATTTTAATAGTAATAGAATACTAATCTAATAATAATACTAATTCTAATCTAACACTAATACTATTATTAATACTATTACTAATACTAATTCTTCTTTTTTTAGTGGCTGGCCAGTACGGGGATCCAAACACTTGACCTTGGTCTTATAACTGATTTAACCAGCTAGTCCCATAATTCTAAAACTAGTAATTATTATTCTAATTCTAACAAGAACAATAATGATAATAACACTAATTCTGATACTAATAGTTTTACTAGCATTAATGTAATAATTATAATAGCAGCAGCAGCATTGTTCGTTGAGCAACCCCAGTCACTGTGCTAAGAGCTTTCCAAGCATAATTTTATCCCATTCTCACCAAATCCGTGTGGTGTAAGTGTGTATAATCACCCCCATCTTCCAGACTGGGAGTAGGTGCTGAGAAATGAATATGTTCATCCGCGGCCGTGGGTTCTTGTCTCAGCTCTGACACTGATTTGTTGCATGATTCTTGGACAAAACACCCCTGAGCCTCAGTTTCTTTAGAAAATGGGTGTAATCATAGATGCCCCACATCGAATGTACCACTGAGGACAGGGCTTGCCTGACACACCATAAATGGTGAGCTCTGTAAACGATGACTGTCATCATTGTTGTTATTATTAGAAACAGCAAGTGCAATGTTGGGAGCAAGGTAGGGAAATTTGTCCTCAGAGGGAAGGGCAGGCTGGGGCTGTTGGACTCACACCTCATTCCTTTATTCCTGGAAGTGACAAAGGGCTCAGGAAGAGAAGTAGAGGGTGGGAAATGGGGCACCTCAGAGCCCTGCCTCCATCCAGAGCTAGAAACCCTGAGGCTCTGAGGCCAGACCTCACCCCATTCCCTCCCCCATCCCCGTGGAGGGGACACAGGCCCAGAAGTCTGCGGCGACAGTTCAGCCAGCAGGGAGGCAGCTGGGAGTGGGCAGATAAGGGAATCAGTGGGGGCCAGGCTAGGGTTTGGGGGAGACGGGGGCGGGAGTGGGGGTGGGGG